TTTAGAGAACTTTAATTGTTAGTGAGTTAGAAGAAATGTGAGTTTTGGGACATAAAATTGGGGTTTTGACATGTCAAATGCTAAAGTTTTGGGAACTATTTTTGGGTAATTTAAGACTTAGTTAGCCTCTTTGTAAAAATCTGGTTTTTATAGAGTAGGAACTTTTGTGTGAGTTTTTGGGTACTTGACTTAGCCTAAATGCATTGAATTCATATTCAATTGAGCAAGTTGTATTCAAATTTAAGTTATAAACAAGTTTATTAATCAAATACATTGCTAAGGATACCAATTTGGTCTTTTAAATGAGTTTAAATTGCATTTAGATCAAATTTTTAGGTTGTTGTAAAAAACTGACAGATAATCGATTATCAGGCTGAATAATCGATTATCTCAGTTAGGAATTTGTTTTCTCTTCAAGACTTTCTAGGATAATCGATTATCCTACATGATAATTGATTATCTCAATCAAAGTTCTTCATGGTTTGAAATCTCTCTGGAATAATCGATTATTTCAGTCAAAGTTCATTCTTTATTTGACAGTTTTCTGGAATAATTAATTATCTTACTTGGTAATTGATTATCTCATAAGAAATAGAGTTTTGAATGCTTAGTACTTGTTTCTTTTATTTCTTTAGTTATTTTATGAATAGAGCTTTGTTTAAACTAGTTTATAAGTATACTTATGTTGGTAATTAGCAATATTCATGGGATGATGTGTGTTATATATGATGATGAGAATGAAAGATATGTTGTGAGAAGAATCTTAATGAGAGATTATATATTTAAGTAAGTCGTGGTGAATGTTTGATAGAGACTTCAGTAAGCAGATATCTTGATATTCTACTTGATATTCTATCAAACATTTAACTCATGTAAAGTTGAATGGGATGACAGAAAGAATGACAAGAGGTCTTTACCCTTGCCCTTTAGATTTTAGGAGTGAAAGATTTACTTCATGGGTAGTAGGTCGAATTATCCTTACTTATAACTTTATATAGTATAAATATTATCATGAGTACACACTTTCAGTGAAATCTATATCAACATCGTATTCAAATAATTGAGTATAGAGATCAAATTTTAATATGATCATGTATTTAATGGATTGTTATGAATGTTGATCTTTGATTTGTTATATTAAATTATGATATATTAATTTCTTTGTATATTAACTTATCCTATTTGCTCAATTTTTGTTCTTTGTATGTTTTACTTAAATCTTTAACAATTATTACTTTTTGATGTGAGAAAAAAAAAAACAATGTCTACTCGTGATCAAGCAAGAAGATATTGTCAAGTGACACACGAATTGGAGCATATAGACATATAAGTGTAATATATCTATGTTTACATGTTTTGTATGGATAACTTATTACATATTTTCTTGTTTATATGTTATGTTCTATGAAACATATGATATTTTGTTTAATAATGTCCTTAGATGTTACAAAAATAACTAATGATAAAATAACATAATTATAGACAACAATTAATATATAATTAGATGTTATGAAATTATCGAATTGTCTAATTATGATTAGCTTTGTCTATGTCTTCAAGAATCAATACTAGGTTGAGACTCTTTCCTTCACATGAAAAGCCCAACCAACCACAATTTTTAAAATACATGAGCTTTCGAATATAATCTTTATTATTGGATAAAAGTTACAATCAGATTACATAAATAAGAGAGTAAAAAAAAACTTGTCATAATATATATATATATATATATATATAATATATATATATATATATATAAGGAATCAGAAAAAGGTTGTACATTCAAAGAATGAGGGTTAAAAGAAATGAAAACAAAAACTAAGTAAAGCATCTAAACAAGAGGAAAACCAAAAATGAATTGCAAAAAAAAAAGAGGAATTGGCCCTTTGCAAGGAAGCAAGATCTACCAATTGCCTATATTCTGAATCATACAGTAAGATACAATATCCATTTGACGCAGCAAAACAAGTTAAAAATGACAAAAAAAAACTAAAAGCAAAACATCCTATTCTACATCTAAAAAAAATACAAACTGAAACAATTATACAGAAAACTGACAAAACTCCAAAGCAAAACACTGTCATACACATATGACTCCATGTCATCATAGAAAACCGAGCAGGTTCGTGACCATGAACTCTAAACCGAATATACATGTGTGTGAAGGGCTCCATTGGTTGGATGTAATCGAGCCTTACCGTGTTTGGATGAGACCAAAGCACCTGAATTCAACACGTTGAATGTCTGAGGCATTGCTCTTCTCTAGGTTCATACGTAAATTCTGAATAGATGATACATCTTTTCAAAGTCACTGCAGAAATCCACCATTAACGGCCCTGCAGCCAACCCAGAGGGACCCTACAGTCTTTAGGGGCACTTGATTCTGTCATATGCAACGCTCTGTTGGACAGAAAAATTTCAGTACTGAAATTTAAAAGTATAAAAAAAATGGATTCAGTGTAACAGGAAATAAATTGAAAACAAAATGTCATTTATTAGTTACAAGTAAAAAGCGAAAACATAAAATGAAAATAAGAAATAAAGTTACAGGTAAAACATCACTTAACTTTCTCAACTTTATTAGTGTTATTGTATTCACTTTTGGTCCTATCAATGCACTAAGAAATTACAAGGTATCTTATAATAGTCTAATAATCAATCTTAAAATACTAATTTGTGTATTTTAAGATCCATGTGATATATTAGGGATATAAATAAAATTAATGCATGGCAATCATCCGATTGCAAATTCATAAACTGAGTTTGCCAAAAGTAGAAAGGGAAGGCGGCCAAGTGCATAAACATGAGATATGCATATATATTTGCAAAACATAAATTTCGATAATCAAACATTTCATCTATTCTAATACTTAAGTAAATTTAAGGAACAGTAAAAAAACACGTTATATACCATACTAACAGACTGACATGAACACAAAAATGTTTAGATTTAGAACGAAAATTGTCACCTTTGCTTAATGTTCCCAAGGTGACAGCCTCGGGAAATGAGGGCAGTGCGAAGCCTAATCTGAACAAACCCTTTACATCCTTCAAGGGGAAACAACTGCCCTGGGCTCGCCAAAGTGCTCGGTTTTAACATCTTTTCCGCATTTGGGTGGACACCATTTTTGCAGACTTTAAACCAATTTCCCTCCCCATATGATACACATCCGAATGCTTCACCACGCACCGCCGCTGGTGGCTAGAGCATAATCCATCTCCAAGCCCATCAGCAGGCATGCTTATCAATCTCCTTCTCAATCACTTTCTCTTTCAAAATCTCTTATTCATCCAAAACCACCAACTGGAAACCCACCCCCTTCCACCCTCCTCACTCCTCAACAAATTTCTCAAATCTCTTCCCTTTGACAACAAGGCCTCCTTTAAAATCACTCAATACTCTCCAATTTCCTCAACTTCCTTGGCCTCCAAATTTCTTCAACCCACTTTGAAAAATCACCCCTTTCTCCTCAATTTTCTCATTCAATTCCTTTCTTAACCCTCTGACCTCATCTTCATCTTCTTATCCACCACATCAACTTGCACCTGAATCATCTTAGCCGTCTTCTTCAACAGTCCCTCCACATCCGAAATCCTTCCCTCGAATTCCAACAACCCAGCGTATCCTCCTACATCACCACCATCACCGGAATTTAATGCCAGCCGCCGGATCAACTGAACAAGCCCCGCAAGCACCACCAACAGCCCTAAGTTCTTCCCCAAAATGCTCAATACCAGCAGCCACCGCGGCTTCTCTGCCTTCACGGCAGACTTCCTCGCCCGCCGCGGTTGAAGCGATGCGGAGTTCCCACCTGCCCCGGCGACCTTCTTTACCGGAGCCAAATCCCGAGGGATCCGGTCAAGAACCGCCTCGCCTCGATGGAGTAGTGGCTAAGGTCGCGCCCGGCGCCCGTGGCACCTTCGCCGGAAGTCGCGAGTGCGGGGGAGGCGGCGACGTCGTTGGTGGCGGTTCTCTCGGAAGCGAGCACCGGGCCTCCGACGCGCCCCCCGGGTGCCGCGGTGATGGACCACCGTGGAAAGCCGACATCGGAATCGTCGAAAACCCCTTCTCAATTCAAACACCGAATTTGAAAATTTTTAAAATATAAAGAAAAAAAATGAAAAAGGAAATTATGGGAAATTAATGTCGGAAATCCTAGTAACACGTTGGGGAAGAAAAAAAAGAAACGAGAGAGTAAGAAAAAAAAAAAAAAGAAAAAGAAGAAATGAGAGGCTAAAAGAGGGAGAGCGTGTTCTACAGTGTTTTATGAAATTGAAGAAAAAGCCAAAATGATGAAGAGGAAGGATTTAAATATTTGTTAAAAGTTTCTTTTTGGCCTTTTTGGGAGAGTGTTACGAAAATTTGATTGGAAAAGGGAGGAGGAAAGTTGAAGCGGGATAAACGATTGCATAATTTTTGGGCTTTAAAATTGGGGCTTATCGCTTTTGGGGCCTGGGTGGAACAATCAGATCTCGGTTTTTTCTGTCAACACTAAAGTTCATTTCCTGCACGCCCACAATATCTATCCGCACCCTCCGATTTTCTTTCGAAAAAATCACTTTCGTTTCCGAAGAAAATTAATAAGTAGAAAAAAAAAAAGAACTTAAATTGCCAATATAATGTAAAATTAGAAAACTTTCCAAAATAAGTTTTCAATTTTTTTGGAATAAGATTTCTTAAATAAAATTTTTGGAATAAGATTTTTGAAATAAATGAAATGCATTGAGGAATAGACCTTTTGAAATAAAATTCCTAGAACAAAGTTTTTTAAATACATTGTTAAGGACATTGAGGAAGTAGAAAGAAAATATTAAGATATTGAGAGTCATTTATGAGATCAATGGCTAGTGAGTAAAGTTACATACATCAACTGAAGGCAGACCTCATGTTGTTCAATCGATCAAAAGCCAAACTTTATGAAAATGGGGAACAAAGAATCATAGTGCATCATATTTTACAAGGACAATGTTACTTGAGAACAATAGTGCCTTCGGGAATTATCAAGAATTTGTTTTGTGCTTTTCGAACTTTATTGGTTATGGTTGTGAATCAAAGAGGATTATATTCTAGGTTTAATAGGTTCGGAGGTCCCTATATTTGCGGGTCGTTTACTTGGGTCCTCCAATTTTAAGAAGTGATCAATTAGGGTCCCCTAATTTAATAAAAATTGAGTCAATAATACCTTTCCGGTTAAATGCAAGGGGAATCTGAATGCAAATTAAAACAAGTTGGCCATGCTGAGGCATTCATTTTATTTGGAGGTGGCAGAGTTTTGAACTTAATACGTGGCAATTTCTGCAATTTTTTTAATGCATTCAGATTCCCTTGCATTTAACGGAAAGGGTATTATTGACTCAATTTTGTTAAATTAGGGACCTAATTGATCACTTCTAAAATTTGGAGGACCCAAATGAAACGAACCCGCAAATATAGGGACCTCCGAACCTATTAAACTATATTCTATAAATATGGGATAAATCAAGTATTCTTTATGAGATAAATGTAATAAGACAGACACAATACTCGTGAAGAGATAGTTATTCATCCTCCTATTAAAACATTAATCGAGGAAGAAAGAAAATAGAAAAGCAAATATTGATCGAAGCCAAGAAGCAAATCGAGGAGAAGGACAAAGTAAATATAAGGCTCTGAAAACTTTCCAGAATATCAAACAAACACAAGCCACATGGACTCCAAAATTGTTAAGGGTAGTTTTAAAGTTAGTTATATGTAACTTGTTCAATTTGAATTCAAATATTATAATTTTCAGGGAAAGCTTAGAAATATTAAATAGGTTATTTTATTTTACGATTGCAAAGGACTGTGGAACAGTACATATATTTTGATAAATGCCACAAATAGGAAAAATGGCTAATCATATATTGATGTTGCAATTTAGGTCACTGCTCTCAATGATTTATGTTACAAATTACTTTACTTTTCTTGGTAATTTACCTTTTATAATTTACTTTAGTGATCTTGTTACTTTATTACAACTTCTTATATCAAACACATTACCACAACTTTGAGTTTTTATCATATTTACATTACACTTCCTTCATTTTATCAAAAAAATAAAAAGAAACAAAAACACAAACTTTTACAGAATTAGTGTTTAGGTGAAATTGGTTTACGGAATTAGTAACTTTTATGTCAAATTTGTTACCAATGAAGAGCATTGGTAAATTGAAGATAAATGATTTTGATGATGCTGAAAGATGATAAATTGTTATAGTTGTTTTAAAAGCAAATTTGTAGATTATAAATGTATTAGGAAAAAGCCTTAAAAACATGTAATAACTTGAGAAAAATTCGTATTTTTTAGAAAATGCTACGCATTAAATCGATATTAGAAGCTATATCGATTATCCTGAGCCCTTCTGAAAAAAACCTCGTTGCTCTGGAATAATCGATTATTACTCCAAAATAATCGATTATACTAGTTTTGATGAGAACTTGCCAAGGTTCTGGAATAAAATCGATTATTCCTCAGGATAATCGATTATCACTTTTGAAAAACCATGTAACGAACTCAAATAACCGATTATCACTAAAATAATCGATATTCTGCGGCAGTTATAATTCATCTTTGCGAACTTAGCCAGTTGGCTATATAGGGTGGTTCCAAAAAACTTCTTAGAAAGAACTCTGAGCTTTTGAGAATACAGGTGTGATCTGAGGAAGTTTCATAAGCTAGTTCATTGCACTGCCTAGTCTCGTGAGAAGGAGAAGCTTCACGCTCTGTGGGTCAAAGGGTCAGAGCGATTCTCTTCGAAAGTTGGCACACGCTACTGTTCGGTCCGGTTCGTTGGTCGAAGGAAGAACTGTTTCTGCACTGTTCCGGTTCGTCAGTCGAAGGAAAGTGTAGATTGTGCTCAGTTCGTTGGTCGAGGAAGGTTTTATATTTCTGTTTTATCCACTATTAATTGTAATTTTGTTGAAACTGATTTTAGTAAAATCGTTAATCACTTTATAGTAATAAAAAAACTGGACGTAAATTCTTTTGAAATGAAGGATAAAAATCAGGTGTAACTTTTCTATTCCTTACCAAAGTTACTGTTTTATGCACATCAATTGTTGTAAATTCTCTAAAAAAATTGATTTTCTAAAACCAACCATCATAACTTGATTTGTGACCGTAACACGCTTTCCGAGTATTTTATTCCGCTGTGCGACTCTATAACGGTACCGATTGTTCCTACAAAATTAATCCTTTTCATCGATACCTAAACAAGAAAATACCCCGATTAGATTGAAAAATCGGTGTTTTTTTACCCTGCTGAAGAAGAACTCATATAGAATAGATTTAGTTTTTAAACAACAGGTGGAAATCGATCTAGACTAAAACCTCGATAAGCACACATAATGTTTTCTGGAACAAGTTTTTATAACATCTTATTGTTACGATAAGGTGTCTTTTGTTAGTCAACTCAGTTTAGTATTTTAATTTTGTTTTATTGTAGTGCAATTTGTTAGCCTTCCCACGTTATAAGGATTGG